ATCCATCCATCCATTGCTGTTAAGACAGTAATATTGTTGCTCTGCTGTTTTCTTCCCAGTGGTCTGTCACCTTCCTTGTATAAATGGGGGGAAGTGCAGTGCCAGAGACAAGTGTCAGTGTCCTCCCAACTTCACGGGCAAATTCTGCCAGATGCCAGTGCAGAATGGACACCAGCAGCACCAGCAGACAGCGGGTGGTTACGGCCAAACTCAGGTCCACTCCACTCACACGCTGCCGCTGACCTACAGCAACGGCCAAAGTACTGGTGAGTCGTGGCGTCGTCATCAGTTTATGAAGAACATGTAAAACATCACTTAAAAAAAAAATTGGGTACAATTTTTACGATACTTTCTGTTGCTAATGTTTCTTTTTTTTGTATTCCTCAAGTGTACAGCCCGAACATTGTCAACATCCACATCAAACACCCCCCAGAGGCCTCCGTCCAGGTCCACCAGGTGTCTCAGCTAGACAGCTACCACAACAACGGACATCAGATCAAGGGCTCCCAGTCGGGCTCCTCGTCTTCGTCCACCAGCTACACCTACCACCACGCAGACAGCAGCCAGAAGATCCAGCATCATGGCTACAACGTGCTCTACCCCCGCCCGCATGGAGACCAGGTTCCTCAGTACCAGCCTGTCACCTCGAAGAACATGCTGGGCCGGTGCTTCCAGGAGACCACGGGCAGTCAGGTACAAACTCATTTTCACTAGGGGGCCACATTGGCAATACAGTTCCTCTTAAAAGACTGCTCGTAAATAGAAGATGTATAGATGTAAATACTCCATAATGTAATAATAAATGTTTATGCAACTGATAGAACAAAGCTCTAAACTTTTAGCTTTTTAAATTCCCCGCCGGCCACTAAAGATGACTTGGCGGGCCATATTTGGCCCCCGGGCCTTGAGTTTGGCACGTGATGTAGAGCGTTCCATAAAGTTAATCCTGTGTTATTTGTTTTTTGTTTTTACTGTGAGGGGACAGACTCTCCTATAAACACCCATACACAGTAAAAACATTAAAAAAATACCCCCAAAATTTTTAGACGGGTATTGGATCACGAGTTATTGTTAGTGAGCCCGATATAAAATGCATATTAAAACAAATGGTAATGAGTGAAGAAGTGGTGCGTCCTATGCATTTCACCAGTTGAAGACCGCGGTGTCTTTGGATATTCTGACAGGCAACGTACTCTGTCTCCAATTTTGAATAATAATATTTCCCCTCTACTCCTACTTTCTTATTGTGTAACTGTCCCTGCAACAGTGTGGGAAGGCTCTGCCAGGTCTCACTAAGCAGGAACACTGCTGTGGAACCATTGGGACTTCTTGGGGTTTCCACAAATGCCAAAAGTGTCCAAAGAAACCATGTAAGTGCAGCTGTTTTTCCAAAATGTTATTTTCTGGTTCTTTTTAGGAAATCTGATTTATTCTCGTCTTTTCCAAACCTTTAAACTGTTGCTGTGTTTGAACATCTTCGTCCCAATGTCGTCCCCCGAGCGTATCTCCACTTTTATCAGAGAAGAAATTCAAATATGGAGATAAGGCTCTTTGTTCATTTTCCTAGCCATCTCTCATTTACTTTTTTCATTTATACAAGTAATGGATTTTACTCACTGGGGTAAATCATTAAATCTAATAAAGTCTGGATTTTTTTTTTGAAAAGAAACGTTTTTGCTCTGCTTGGGAAAATTAGGTTTTCAAACACTCTCCGTGCCAACGACGAGCTCGGAGGAGAATGTCAATGTCCTTATCTCCTTGGGACACTATGGTCCACGACTGTGACTGTGGATGAATATTAAAACACTAAAGGAGCAAACTGTTCATTTTAAACGTCATACACAGACAGAGCATTGACTTAACAATATTGATAGTAGTAGACAGTTTTCAATAAGAAGTTACAATTCCTTATGTTTTCGATATTTTAGAAATTGACTGTAGCCTATTCAGACTCTTCTATCAGATTAATCAAGAGCATCAGGCGTCGTTGTTTGACTCGTTTCTTTGCACCCCACGTCCTGTAAAAGTCATTTCATCGGGGGTTCGTCTGGATGTAAATTCGATGTTAATACCAAAAGAGGATGTGGAAGTCTGCAGGACGTGTGATCACCTCTGAGGTACATTTACCAAACGTCGTCTCTCGGGTGCAGAGCGGCGCGTCCACAGTCTGTGCTTGTGGACCACAGCTTATAAAAACAGAAGTAAAAAAAAGGTATTGAAAACAGTTTTCAAACCTTACGTGTCTGGTGGAAGTGCTGAATACATCTTCTTTAAAGTGAGAGTCAAGCTACGATTATTATGACCTGTCTGGCTACAGCTACCTCAGCGTCCATCATGGACGGATGGATAAATTATTGGATGAATTGATGGATAAATATGTGGATGGATGGATGGATAGATAGATAGATGGATGGATAGATGGATCGGTGGTTGGGTGGTTGGTTGGATGGATAGATGGATGGATGGATGGATGGATGATGGATTCAGGAAAGTCATGAAAAATATGCATGAATACTGCATGAAAAATAAGTTTATTTATTTTTAATAGGAAATACCCTCATGTCTTTTAAATGTAAATACCAACAGTATTATATTGGTCTCTCTCTCTCTCTCTCTCTATATATATATATATATATATATGTTTATATGTGTGTGTGCACACGCACTAACAAAAAAAGACATTCATATAGATATTGTTTTACATAATGAATGAAGTTACTGTGGTTGTTCCCAGTACATCCACACTCCACACTCTGTCATTACCAGGATTGGCCTGCATGTGTGGTATCTACTCTGTGCAGTTGTATTGTCAAACTTGGTCAGATGTCAAACCTGATGATGTCATAAAGATGTCAGGTAGAGAACCTACAACCTTAAATTACTCTTTGTTTCCATTGGCTTCATTTTCACCCTAGGAAGCAGCTGGCAAAAAAAAAAAAAAAAAAAGTTGCTGAGCCAGAGCAACTAGGAAACTCTACAGACGGTTATTTTTGGTCTCAGTGTGAGAAGACAGGTGACTTTCACCCTCTCCATACTCCTTGTCTCCACCATATCGCTTTTCTGCGTGTGAGTTTGGGATGTGTCTTGTCTCCACCATATCGCTTTTCTGCGTATGGGTTTAGGATGAGTTTGGGATGTGTATCACATCATTGATGGCTAAGAATGTAAAAATGTCAAACTAGGATGCATTTCTTAAAATATCATAGAAAATACAAATAAATCTGAGATGAATTAACCATTTAATGTAAAACGGCCTTGTCTATTTTTATGGATGTCTTTAATAGTCCATCACGTCTGAGTCCAAAAGTTAGCCGATCTTAAGCTGCGTTGAAATACTTGGTTGGTGTCAAACATCACAGTGTGCTGCAGAATTGGTTTCAGTCGTGGCTTCAACACTTCAAAACCATGGCCTTGTTGTTTTCTATTGAAACAAATATCACTTCACCTGTAGTTGAGATAAGACTCCTCAAAGTTGAACTGTTCGGTGTTTAAGGATAGGTCTGTGGTTTATACTTAGGCCCTGACCATAAATACCTGGCCTTTAGGTCTTTCCTTCCTTCCTACCTTCTTTCCTTTCTTCCTTCCTTCTTTCCTTCCTTTCTTCCTTCTTTCCTTCCTTTCATCCTTCTATGCTTCTTCCCTTCCTTCCTTCCTTTCTTCCTTCCTTCCTTCCTTCCTTTATTCCTTCTTTCCTTCCTACCTTGTTTCCTTCTTTCCTTCAAACCTTGTTTCCTTCTTTCCTTCCTGCCTTGTTTCTTTCTTTCCTTCCTACATCGTTCCTTTCCTTCTTTCTTTCCTTCCTTCCTTCCTTCCTTCTTTCTTTCCTTCTTTCCTTCCTTCTTTCCTTCCTTCCTTCCTTCCTTCTTTCCTTCCTTCCCTCCTTCCTTCCTTCCTTCCCTCCCTCGTTTGTTCATTTGTTCCTCCTTCTACTTTTCCTTCATTCCATCCTTTCTTCCCTTCCTTCCTTCCTTCCCTCCCTCGTTTGTTCATTTGTTCCTCCCTCTACTTTTCCTTCATTCCTTCCTTTCTTCCTTTCTTTCCTTCCTACCTTGTTTCCTTCCTTCCTTCTTCCTTCCTTTTTGCTTTCCTTCCCTCATTCTTTCCTTCCTTCCTTGTTTCCTTCCTTTCTTCTTCCCTCCCTCATTCCTTCCTTCCTTCCTCTCCTACTTCTTTCCTTCCCTCCTTCCTTCCTTCCTTTCCTCTTCCTTCTTTCCTTCCTCCCTATCTTCCCTCTTTCCTTCCTACCTTGTTTCCTTCTTTCCTTCCTACCTTGTTCCCTTCCTTGTATCTTTCTCACCTTAATCCTCTGTCGAGGATGAAAAACATTGAAATAAAATCACTTAATCGTCATCAACCTAACTTTTGTCCTTTGTTCTCCTCTCTTCAGCAACCCCAGTGATAGCTTGTCCGCAGGGATATAAGAGAGTTAACATCTCCCACTGCCAGGGTGAGTATTTTCTTCTATTTCTTCCTTTTTTTTCCTCATCGGCAATGTCAGCAAAATGTTTTTTTTAGAAAAGGAGCAATCGCCACATTAAATAATTAAGACTAGGTGTTGTCAACTAGTTGTCAACAGCTCCGGTTGTTCTCATACCTTTTGTCTTGTCCTCTACTGCCACCATGAGTATATTTCACCTATATGGTAATTTAAACAACTCTAGACAAGTGTAGATAATCAATATCAGAAGTGTCCAATTTAATCACTCAAGGGACCAAAATTCAAAACACTGTCTAAATTGTGGCCCACCCAGGATTAACTGTATTGGACGGTTTTGTGCTGACATGCATAAATTAATTTCTCAATAAATTAAAATATATATATACATATATATATAAATATATACATATATATACATATATATATTTAAAACAATAACAAATCAAGCAGAATTAAAATGGTGGGCCACATAAAATAATGTGGAGGGACGTATTTGGCCCACGAGCCAGGGCTTTGTAATACGAAACCTCTATGAACTTTTGGACCGGCAGTTGGATTAACAAATAACTGAATTTTAATTACCTGAAATGATTTAGCAAATAGTTGCTTAATGGTTATATACTTTTTTTTTTTTATCTTAAAAAGTCACTGATCAGAACAGTTCTGGTCAGTGGTTTGTATTTGACCATTTGTTTCATCTCATATTTGTGTCTTTGTTTTTTTATTTTTTATTTAATAGATTTAGATGAGTGCCAGCTTCAGGGTGTGTGTCCGAATGGGATGTGCGTAAACACAATGGGAAGCTTCAGGTGCATGTGCGCACCTGGCTACGTGCCCGACCCAACCTTCACCTCATGCATACGTAAGACGGACTCTCTAATTTTTACAATTTTTTTTTTTCTTAGATCCTCCTCTCAGTTATTGTTTGCCAAACTCAGAAAATCCACATGTGCAATATTAAACCAGGCAGACGGGATTCAGATAGATTTTTTATTGCTGCTCTTTTACGTCTGCTGGAAAGAAAGATCCCGTCAGTCGAGCTGCTGAGTCGGCAATGCGTTTGATTGCATGTGTGCGAATGCAGTGCATGGATCAAGCACAGTGTTCATTGTATGTATTTGAATCTGTTCAGATAGATTAATGCAAAAAACAAAACAAAAACAAAAACAAATAAGAAGAGGGTCAGGGTCAGTCAGTCTTAAAATGACTGCACTGTGGGGATGGCTCGATCTGATACTCAAGATCGGTATCCATTTAGTATAGATCCACGTTTCAAGATCGAAGATTAAAAATTCAACTGTAGCCCGTCCGATCCGATACCTAAGCCCAAATGGTCAACTTAACAGCAACAGCAGCCCACGGCATGCTGGGTAAGAAACAAAGGTATCAGATTGATATCGGTATTGGCGGATACTCCAAGTTGCCGTATCGGTATCGTACGTGAGAAAGTCATATCGAGCCAGCCCGCTACTGTAAATAGGTTCCTATGGGTTTTATGAGCATTTGTGCAGTTGTTGCCGCAAGATTGAAATGGGTCCTAACACCAGCCGTGACTGCAGAATGCTAAGGCTAATGTTAACCCGTAAAATGGCTCTCGGCACTAACCAGTTGCTGACATTGTGTACGTGTTCCTGCATGTGTGTGATGAGTTGAACTGACTTTTGGTTGGTGCGCTTGGATAGTTGAAGCAACCATAGTGTGGATTTATCACCACTACCCGTTGTTCCAAGGTTATATGCGGGTGTGGGAGTGAGGTACTTCTGCATGGCCTCAAACTCTGTTTCTAACTCTAAGCCCAACTTTAAGTTAAGGAGTGAAAGTGAAGTTATAATAATAAAAAACAACAACAATAATAATAATTTAGTTTATGCTGCCACTCTCAGGTACTAGTAACAGTTGGATAATCAATTTTAAAAATCTGGTCAGATCAGGCTACGGCTCAGAAGAATTCAGGGTTAGGTTGTTTTTAGACCAGAAGAACCCGGACAACACAAACTGATCTAAACCCCCCCATGCATGTCTAACTACCCTCCAACGTTTGACTTCGAAAGCGCATGGTCAGTTTGCACGACAACAGTGGCAACGGCGCTGTCAGTTCAGAACCGCAATTTGTGTTGACACTCCTTACGAACCTGTGTTGTTAGACCAAAATCTGTGTGGAGGTGAGACGGCTCTGTCTTTGGTGAAGGGTACCTCGTTATTTTTTTCCCGTTCTGTCCTGTCTTTTTCTCCCTCGTATGTGTCCACTATAATCTGGCGCACTGCTTCCTACACCTTCCCTCCTGCCCCCTTTGCCTACCTGCTGCACTCCCTCTTCAGCTGAAACACCTGCCGTCCAGGAAGAGAAGGGGGCTTGCTTCCGTTTGGTCAGCAAAGACAGAGCCTGTTTGCATCCGATTACTGTGCAGCTGAGCAAACAGCTCTGCTGCTGCACTGTGGGCAAAGCCTGGGGCCCTCACTGTGACAAATGCCCCCCTCCAGGAACAGGTAAGGCCTCCAGCCACATCAAACACTCAGCCTGACTCAGAGCCACCTAATGGCCGCTAACACATGCTGATCAGTGGTGTATGGATTGCACTTCAGGTTGTCCTTCCTCAGTACACGCTGTGTGTGATAGAAACCTCGGAGCTCTGCATTAGTAGTGAGTCCATGTCCTGCAATCAGCCTTAGGTGAATTATTATTATTATGATTTGAGCGATATGCACAAATTGCGCGATTGACACAGCTCACCAATGAGTGATATAGCTTACCATCGCCATCTAATGGGGAGTTAATAGAATACAAAATGTAAGTGTTTATAAATGAAAATCCACAAGGCGTCAGGGGTGGGTTGGTTTCGGCAAAAAGGGGGTTCCCCCGACTTGAAAATCGTACTTAGGCCCCCGTTTGGGTAGGGCATACAGGCCTACGGTTACGGGCAAACCCAACATAAGGGGTCAGTATTGAGATAGCCTGAGCATTATTAGTGAAATATGATTTTCTGTTGGACTTTTACAGAATTGAGTCACAAATATTTGGGCTTCAGACCCGACCAGACAGTCCAACGTGTTTGCCAAGTCCCCGCTGGACTCTACATTGTAGTAATCAGAACAGTAGTTCTTCACCAAGGTCATTAAGATTCTGGTGTATCTTAACCATACTGTGACCTGTTGCATGTACCGTATCTATTTTTATTGTAATAACCCGGAGCAGGCAGGTTGAATGACAGTATCCGATTCTTTGAATGCTTCGTGTTTAAGACAGTCAAACAGTTGGGGTCCATTCCGATGTGTTATTCATGTTGTCATACCGTGCTCTTTGAATCTTCTCTTCTACGGCACACTGTCCGACTGCATGGTTTCGTCTGCTTGGTGACGTAGTTGCTTTTAGCATACTCTCCTAGATGGGCCCTGATAGTAGCCTTTTCACAGTTTTGTCCCTCTTGTTTGCACACAACACAACTCAACGTCAATGTCAATGTCAATGCCCTTCAATGACATTCACGTTTACAGGTGTTCTGCGAATACATATTGTTGATAAAAAAAAAAAAATTTTTTGCTTGTTGCACGATCTCTATTTAAACTTATTTAATTTTTTTCCAGGTAAATAAGTTGTGTTTTATTTACATATGATTTATGTTTATATGTATAGAACAGGTTTAAGTGATTTATTAGGGACGAATAGAAGGAAAAATGGTCAGTGATTTGGTCTTGATTGGATTTGTCTAGACAAAGTAGAGTATCTAGTATCATGAGTATCTATGAGTATCAACCATTCTGTGATCTGGAGGTTGGAACTCCTCCATCACATGACTACATATTAATATTGTATGTAATACTAGTAAAACTACTTCAGTCTTACTACTAAAAACTCTTAAAATACACAATATTAGATATAGGTAAGTTAGAACCACCATAAAACACACTACAGTGGTATGAAAAAGTTTCGGCTGTCCATTCTCGGAAACCATCAAACCTGACTGAACTGGATATGTGTTTGTTTGCTATATGATATATTTAATTGAAATTGCTGTTCCGAACAACCAGTGATCCATAAAGGAAAATCTTGAAAATGGTCTGGGGTGCCCAAACTTTTTCATACCACTGTATATATATTCTTCTTATGATAAAGTGTGCAAAGTAAAAAAAAAAAAAAAAAAAAAAACAATTCATATTTTAATGAAATTTGTGCCTGTTACACATTTTGTTTCATGATGTAGCTCAGTTCAAAGAGATCTGTCCTGGTGGAAAGGGCTACACTGTTCTCCCAAATCCACCTGTCAATAAGCCAGTCACCGTTTACCAGCCACCCCCTGAACCCATCCAGCCTCAGCCCCTGCCTACACCTGAGAGACCAGTCGAGGCTTTTGGGAGACCAGAGGAGATCATACCAGGTGAGGTTCATTAACCTCTGATCAGTATTGTAGATGACGTGCACATGATGCACATCTATATTTTAATTGTCGAAATGACAATCCTTAGCTAGTCCAGAGATAGGAGCCCAGCTCTACCGTCTAACTCCCCTTTGTTCCCCTCCTTTCCGTTGCTGAAGAAATAATTTCCCTGCTCACTTAAGGGAACCTTAGAACCATGTACATGATGCACATCTATATTTTAATTGTTGAAACTGTGATGTAAAAAGACATTTTTTTTAACATTTTCAGAGTTCCCCATCCTTAGCTAGTCCAGAGATAGGAGCCCAGCTCTACCGTCTAACTCCCCTTTGTTCCCTTTGTTCCCGTTGCTGAAGAAATAATTTCCCTGCTCACTTAAGGGAACCTTAGAACCATGTAAAAAAAAAAGTAAAATTCAAATCTGTGGAGGTTGGATATTTTTGAATATTGATAAAGGGTTTATCTTTTTTCAACATGTTATTGCCATCGGCTAAACAGGATTATCAATCTACAATTAAATCTCACAGGGTAACACTAGAAATGAAACCTACTGCGTGTGATAAGCTACCATTGTCTTTCCCTCTCCTAATATTTGTTTTGGGAAGAAAGGGGTTAGAGTGCTTGGGCACACTTCACATTCCATTTAAATACAGCTCTGCCCCCCAGGGCTTAAGAAGAGGGACAGAAAAGGGGGGGGGAGATAAGCCTGGGAGGAAAATGAGCCTCAGCTTCTCCCGACAGCAAAGGAAGGTGAAATTGTGAAACATCTTAGTCAGTGCTGGACTCAATCACATCTGCAGTTACATTTTTGTGGCCATGCTCGCAGTTCAGTTTGCAGGGAATAGTTAAGAAAATCAATGGGACTATTATTGAGCCACTTGAACAAAAAACTGATATACACTCAGGAATTGAAGAAAGACACACAGGAAGATCTTTAACAGCTCAGAGTCTGTGCTTTCATTTTTTGAGCCATCTACTGCCACCTAGTGGAAGAGTATTTAATCGTTCTGCCTGAGTCTTGACACATACAGTTGTCCCTCTCTGTGTCGCGGTTCTCCTTTTGCTCCTTTAGCACATCGCAGATTTTTTTAAATCCGATCTTAAATAGCGAAATATTCCCTATATTGCGAAATATGCAAAAAATAAACTAAAAAACATTATAAAATAATACATATACATACAAAAGTTTTGGCTAAAAATGTTGATCCTCGTTTTGAAATTGAGATATGGGCATTTGCGAACGATCGCTGCTAGCTTTGTTTACCTAGACGAGATCGTACACAGAATACTATTGGCTAATTTAGCATGATCATCTGTTCCTCACGCTGATTGGCTCGTGCATCGTAGCATCTCTCAGCATCGCCCCCTGTCTGTCGGCCACTCTCTCGTTCACTCTCGCTCTTCGTCGCCATTCTACAACTCTACTTTGCAATTATATAATCATGTGGGAAATGGTAATACAGCCTAGGGAGGGTTGATAACAGTGTGGAGGAGGTTCGTAAAGGGTAAATGTATACGTAAAAAATATAACAATTATCTCGCCTCTACTTTGCGATTTTTCCCTTTTCGCGGTGAATGTTGGAACGCAACTACCGCGATAGGAGAGGGATCACTGTATATCAATTATCAATTGACACAATGTAATCAATTAGTAATTATTCTACTAATTACTTCTACTATAAATGCTTCTCAGTGCAGCGTTGAATGGATCTGTCTAGCAGACACCACACAGTGTCTCTTTCTTTTACATTAAAAATACCAGTCTGGCAGTTTATTATGTAAATGGCCCCATGTCATCACCCTCTAACTGTAATTTGCTGCCGGTGGTAAATGCACTCAAGATTCTAAATGCTCCGCCGGAGCCTGTTGGGATTAAATGGAACCAGTAAGGAGGGAGCCAAAACAGATGGTTTTTGAATTTGTTTGGGATCAGGTCACACTCGCTGTGCCAGCCTTAGTACTTTTGCAACAGCATATGAATATATTCATGAACAGGCAAATAGAGGTGTAACAGGAATTAACAAATTCAGAGCAGCAGCTTATTTTGACTGCGTTGGTTTACTGTGAACGGAAAAAAATGTCCAGGCCAGGCTGTGCTGCATCCGAGTTAACTTTGTGTGCTGTGAAGCCTTTTGATGAGAAAGTTCATTGATCTGGAAATCAGCGATCCTGTGGTATGATGCCCTGGTACAACTCTGCAGTGAAATGTACATCTAAAAGTGCTTTAAAAAAAATGTATAAATCGCAAAAATTTGTCGCCATCTTCAACGTAAAGAGTTATTTCACAAACCAAAAATGTTCTTTTTTTTTTAATTTTTTTTCTATGGTCAGTAGCAACAACTGCACCAGATCAGGTAGGTTGGGTGTCGTAAAGAGCAAAGCTATGAAAGCATGCACTGACACACTCCTCCCAGCCACACGGGGGGGCTGTCGAGTCATCTTTGCATGACGTCAGCAACATCGCTGCATGACTTGGCCGGTCGCACAGTGCATTGAAGTGGATTGATGTGTGCCTTCGAGGTATTAATCTACAGACCCGAAGTGTCTTTGTCTTCTGGCTTTGCTCACTGAGATACTGTCGCTCTGCTCTTCCACTCAAGACAAGTACGCCATGCGAGCTAAATGCTAATCTGCATTCCAGCGTAGCATCTGTGTTGCATGTTACACAATGTGCAGAGCCCAAATGAGCACTTTTTGGACCAAAATGCCTACAGTGTCTTGTTGACCTTGACCCTCTGGTATTATTGTCTGTTTTGTCCTTGAAGGAACTGATAGACCCCGTGCTTAGCAATAGGCCAATCTTGCCTCAGCTATCTCCAGGTGTTTCCACTGTCAAGATGGAGGCTGCTTACCCAGGTGTCTGTTCTTTACCTTATATTCCATCATCGAGTGCATAGTGTCGTTTCTCACTCTCAGTTGTGCTGAGATATAAATAATGAAAACTACCACTATAATAACAATAATACTGTAATACTATCAAACTCGAGGCCCGGGGGCCAAATGCGGCCCACCAAGCCATTTTGTGTGGCCGTATAGCAGAGTTTCTTAACCTAAGAAATTATTAGTTCTTAGGTTATAGTTTCTTAACCTAAGAAATTATTAGTTTTTTTTTATTACTTTGAACAATATTTATAGCTTAAATAAATAATAATCAATTGTAGAAACATGTATTAGTCTGTTATGGAGTAGTTACTTCTATACCAGTGGTCCCTGACCTTTTTTGTCCCAAGGACTGGTCAGCCAGTACCACCGTGACCTATTATTTTAAAATATTCTTAAAATTTTTTTTCACTGTGTCCCAGCTGCGGCCCGTTACCAAATGACCTTTGGACTGGTACTGGTCCACGAACCGGGGGTTGGGAACCCCTGATCCATTTACAACTGGCCCTACAAGGGGAACTGTATTGCTGATGTGGCCCCCTGGTGGAAATGAGTTTGACACCCCTGCTATGAATTTGCTATGAACCAAAAAGCAAATGAACATACAGGAACAACTAAAATCATTAAATCGTTAAATTAGAAAGAAGAAATAAAAAATAAGGAATTTAGTAGAAATAAAAAAAATGAAGAAAAGCCCTGGTTGATTGGTTAACAGGTTAATTATTTGAGCTATTTTTTTAAAATTTCACAGCAGGATATGTTTCTTTAATCGACCCTTGTCACGAACTGTATTTCTCTGAAATAAAGCTGTGGCTTAGCACAGTGTTATTAGAAAAGCCATATATCTCCTAATAAACAAACAATTGCTTCTTAATGGATAATAAAATTTCCGCTGGTTTAAATGTATATACACTGTAAAAAACAACACCGCGGTGGTTCGGGTAACACTTGGTGTGGTCCATTTGATGCATTTCATCTCATCTATTGAGGTTAATAGTCTGGTGCAGCTTATACACGGTGCACTTTATATCCATTAAATTGTCTGCCTCAATAATTACTTTTGGTACTTTTAAAGACAGTGTTTTGGAAATGAATGGTGAATTTTTTTTTTTTATTTTTATTGTTATTTAAAATACATATAATGGGTTGTGGCATTAACATTGAATGAAAGAAATGTTAATTATTTCATGTTTTTTTCTGCTTTGGTAGAGGTTGTTGAGAGGAGCTCGCCGCCTGCACCAGTAGAGATCTTCCCGTCCAATGTAGGCCAGGACATTGCCCCCACGCAGTCAACAGGTACATTCCAATGATTTCTCGATCTTATTTTCTATCTAACTATCTTATTCTTTTTTTTTTTCCCATTTTTTATTTATTCTCATTATAAATTATGGTAACAATAATTATACCTTGTGGTTACTATTATTTTTCAAAATTATAATTTCACTGAGCACATAATAACCAAATAAAAAAAAACAAAAACAAATACATTTTCTAGAAGATGTCGGTTATTTAACATGAAGGATTGTGTCACAGTGTGGATTTTAATACAGGGTGTTTTCACATATTGGCTGAAGTAGCTTTTTGACTAGCGTACTAGCTTACTTTTAGAGCTGGTGTTTAAATACGACTATCGAAAATTCTGACTTTAGAAACATTTTTCTTCATTTCTAGTCGCAAGCACACTGACAAATTGGGGACTTTAGAAACATTTTTCTTCATTTCTAGCCGCAAGCACACTGACAAATAATAAAGAAATACAGACAGGAAGCAACATCACAAATAAACGTAGTTTAAAGTAGTACAATAAATAATTGTTTCGGGCTTCAACCGTCAATAATCAGTTTTCTTTATTTTGTCTTTGTCTGCTATTCAAACTCTTTCAGACTTTTAATGAGAATCATTGCTTATCAGTGGAAAAACTGCTGCTTTGTTTTCTCCCCCAAACCCCCGTCTGTGTTTCCAGAGGTGGATGAGTGTCAGGTCAACCCTTACATCTGTGGCCAGGGGATTTGTTACAACACTGCTGTAGGCTACACCTGCCACTGTAACGAGGGATTCCACCTGGACCATGACCACACCACCTGTGTAGGTGAGTGTTCTTTATTTGACACCAGGAGGTCAGGTCAGGCCAGGCCAGGTCAAAGGTCTTTTGCAGGAGGGTTGCGTCCACATTTGGCTAGACCGGAAAACGAAACACTGATTAATCAGAATAAGTCGTTGTTGTACTTAACGATTACGGCATCGTTATCGGGATTAATCATGAAGTTGAATTCATTATGAATTATGATTATTGATGAAGTTTCCACTCACAAACACATGCATAGTGCGTGTGAATTACAAAATGATAATAGACTATGTATTAGAGCAATGATAGGTGTATGACAGTGAAATTATTGGATGGATTAACATGATCATTTTGACATCTTTAAAAAAATAACATACATATTTTATTTCCATATTCTTTATAAAATCTGTCCATATTCCTAATAAAATCTGTCCTCTATTACATGTTTTTTTTTTCCAGATGTGGACGAGTGTGTGGAGAGCCCATCCAAGTGCACAGGAGGTCTCTGCAGAAACACTGAGGGGAGTTTTCTGTGTGTGTGTCCCAGGGGCTTCCACGCTGATGCAGAGGGGACCAGTTGTGTTGGTAAATCCATCCGATGGTCACTTTTAAATGGATCCAAAACTAGCTAATAGTTCTTAGAATTCATAAATTAGTCCTTTTTTTTTTACTTTATTTTTTTTATATATCTCTTTATATACAACAAATCAGCTACTCGCTGTAATACGTATTTGTGAAGAAAAGCGTTATTTGTATGCGTGTGTTTTGAGCCACTGCGCATGTTTTACATTTGAAAAATCCCACAGAGCACCACCAAACAAAAACGTCCCAAAAAGTGAATCTAACAAAATATAATAATTTTCTACTTTTAATTTACCCCCAAATTAACTTACTTAGTATATACCTATTTAGGTGAACACAACACGGATATACCCACAGGAATTGAAAAAAAAAAAAAAAAAATCAAAACAAAAATCATTTCCAACAGGCTCTCTCTTTTTTTTTTTACTTTTTAATTGTGATGTGAAAACCCCACCATTTCCTAGTAGTTTTGCGTTAATGAACATTAACAGTGCGACGTTTCCCAGTACAGCGTAAATGTCAAACAACAAACAAAATATGTGGTACATTGGGGACGCCATGCGCAACCGCAGCATCTGACACCGCTCTGGACCCGGTCAAATACTTGGCGAGACCTAAGCCGAGCTCACCGAGTTCATACTAATAGAATTAAAAAGGGTGGAAAATTCTGGACGACATCAGTGATTACGCACTGACCGTCAAATGCACCGCCTCCTCGCTGCTTCGTCCCCCCCCGTATTTGGATATAAATATGAGGCAGTCTGCCATTACGTGGTTTCCTGAAGGGTTTCCCCCACCCTCCAAATGATACTGAATTAAGGTCGTATGGGTAAATCAGCCCAATGTTTATTTACCCACAACTGCAATAAACCTCCTTCACTCAGATGTGCTGGACGACGACTGGGATTATGACTTTTTCAAAGAGGTTTCTGTGCATAGGAATATACCAACATGGCTCCTTAACATCAGTGGGGGAAAAAAAAAACTCAAGCAGAAATTTTTAGTCTTATTTTTTTTTTTTTATTATAAGAGAAGAAATATTACACCGTGAGACAAACTCAACACACCAGATTTTTTCCTACCACACTTCACATATTCGACTGCCGTATCCGTCTACATGAGTATAGCACAGGTAAAGTCTGGGCTCCGTCTGTTTATAGAGGCATGATTTCAAATCAATGCTTGACATACTATAATATATCCTCTACCCCGGGCGAGCCAAGCATTTTTCCAATCAGGGACTATTTAATTTTTACAACGCCCCTCACAGGCAATAAATTCTAAACACAAATTAGGTTTGCACATTCTTTGGTCTCTCTCTGTCCGTATTGGTTGGTTGGTTTTTACATATTTCTTTAAATGTCAAGTTGTTATTAAGTTGATCTAGGAGTACATGGGAAAAAAAACAACACAAAAATAGAATGCACTTTGCAGTACACTATTCTGCTAGGGCTACATCAGTAATGATGTTCATTTTTAAAAAAAAAGTTTTTGATTGATATAAATATTTCATAATGAGGGTCAATAGCTAGTAAGAATGATTTACTCCAATTGACAAAAAAAAAATTAAATACTATTTTAAACATTACTTTTTTCTGCCCATGTTGAACACCAAAAATTGACTTGTCTAATGCAGTGGTTCTTAATTATTTTCTGTCACAGCCCCCCCTTGTGGACAGAAATGTTTTTACACCCCCTCGTGCCCCACCGACTCACACCCCTGCGAATTGAAATACTATTGAGAGCCTGATAACATGTATATTTTCATCTGTACAAACCACTGTATGAGTTGCTGCCACCTAGTGGCTGGAGGCTTGTTATTATTCAAGCATTACAGCAGTGGTACACTTATGTCATATTCCATTTGAACGCCCCCCCAGAGGGCCCCGCCCCCCTGTTTGAGCTTGAACTCCTGTTCTAATGTGATGTCCAACTAAGTGTGAGCACTGAGCATGCTCAGTGTCATCCTTAGCATGAAAGGGTTTTCCTAGATTATTAATTCAATCTAAGACTAAGATTGATTTTATATTCTTTTTCAGATATCGATGAATGTGTGAACAGGTCTTCTTTTTCAGATATCGATGAATGTGTGATGAACAGGTCGGTGTGTCCGTCCGGCCTCTGCTTCAATGTGCCGGGGAGTTTCAACTGCGCCTCCTGCCCTAACGGCTTCTTAGCACAAGGAGGCCGATGCGCAGGTGAGTCCAGGAAGAGTCACGTGATTTGCCCGTGCCTTTTCTAGCGAGTTCGTACGAAGCTGAAATAATAACAAAATGTTTATATTTGTATTCGGGATGTAGGAATAGCAGGTGAGTCCAGGAAGAGTCACGTGATGTGCCCGTGCCTTTTCCAGCGAGTTCGTACGAAGCTGAAAAAATAACAAAATTTGTATTCGGGATGTAGGAATAAGATCATTCATTTGCGTAAATCAGGGGCGTCAAACTCGTTCGGTGTCAGTTTCAAAATTCATCAAGCGGCCCGGATTGAAACCCCAATCGGGCCATTTTTGGCCCGCGGGCCTTATGTTTGACACCACAGGCGAGAATTAAGAATGAATCAGATTCCAGTTGTTTTTTTGTCAATTGAAGTTACATGTACTTTTCCTTAACAACTCAAAGATATACTGTCTAGTAAACCCAGCGTTGCCGTTAACACCTACAGAACCAAGACTAGGACACATAGCGGGACGGACTGCTGCCAACAAAGTAGTAAACCATTCAGACATTCCAAAGCACACACACAGAAGTGGCCTGTTCTTCCTGGAAGTGCTGTTATTTCTACAGCAATCCAAAGGTATTCCCATCTCTCTTGCGCTAGTTTACTGCTCCTTTCATCCCATAGTTTTGACTGCTCCCACACCGGGAGGTGCGAGCCAAGCCGCAGTGGGGTGGCGGTGGACGGAGACGCTGGGAGAGGAAATAATTAAGCCATGCAAAGAAGTCCTTTATAAAAGTTAATAACCCAGCTAACACTGCCAAACTTAGAGAAACGGTGTCACGTCTTAATGCCGCCTCTGTGTGTCTGTGCGTGTCTTTGTCTGCGCGCGGGTATGTTGTAACGTTGTTGCCCCGATTTCTGCCCTCAAATCCATTGTCCTTTTTATTTCTTCAGATCTGTTAAACATTGGTACACACAGCCGCGGTTTCCTGGAATATCAGTCCATTTCCTGAAATGCCGTAAAAATCCGAGTTTAGTCATTGATTCAAACCTGCTTTTAATGAAAGCTATTAAAAATAAATAAAAACAAGAATCACGCAGTGGAGAGAGTTATGCACCGGCGTGGAGGGCGAGTGAAAAGGGGGGAGAAGAAACAAAGACAAAATGTGTTTACCATTCTGTCGTTAAAATGCAACGGTTATGGATTTCCGACGGAAAAAGTTAAAGGTCAAAGGCCACTGTCAGGGTATGAGAAATATGTCTATATACAAGAGCACCGGTGGTGTGAAGACGGGACGAATTTGGGAGGAGTCTCCGTTTGCAAAAAGACAAGTAAAAACCTGCGACTCAAAATTCACATTTGCAACTAATAAGTGTGTTTTATTGTGCAGTTATATTACACAATCTCCATCGTTAATATTTCTGCCTTGATCCCATTCGACAGCTTTTGGATTGAAGTCTTTGCTCCAGTCGAGTTTCCTGCATCTAATAGCCTCAGACGTTTGTCCACATTTAACCGATTCATTTTTCCAGGAAGTCGACGTTTGTTTTCTTTTCCCTAAATGATTTGTTGTAGGAACACTTCTTCGTCTTTGACGGGACATTTTTACTGGTTCCCTGCAGGAAGGAGTGTATTTAAGATTTGGGGTTAGGATTAGAGTTTGGTTCACGTTAGGCTACGTGGTTAGGAAATGAACGATATGTATATTGATGTGGCTGTTTAAGATACGACAAGATAAAATGTTATTCATTCATCCCACACCGGTATATTGATGTGGCTGTTTAAGATACGATAAGATAAAATGATATGCATCCCACACCAGGGAAATTTAGGAAACAGTTTGCGTTGGCCGGGAATCGAACCCGGGTCAACTGCTTGGAAGGCAGCTATGCTCACCACTATACCACCAACGCCGGACGGACAGTTCCGAAAACTGTTTGCTGATTGGGAGCGTGCGTTAGAGACAAGAACAGGCACAGTGTTGATGAACTGTTCGGGGATTACTTACTATGTGTCAAACTCAAGGCCCGGGGGCCAAATGTGGCCCGCCGGAGCTTAGAAAGCATTTAATAAAGTTCATGCAGCAGAGTTTCTTAACCTGAGAAATTACATTTTTTTTTCTTTTATTACACAGCAATGAACAATACTTTTAGCTTGAATAAATAATAATCAATTAAATAATCAAAAACAGTTGTGTTCTAACTGTTTGTAATGTTAAGCTTGAATAAATAATAATCAATTAAATGATCAAAAACAGTTTGTTTTATTGTGTTCTAACTGTTTGTAATGTTTTATATTTGCAGATATAGATGAGTGTCAGGACCAGCGGTTGTGTACCAGGGGTCACTGTCTGAACACCGAAGGCTCCTTCATCTGTGAGTGTGGGCCAGGCTTCAGAGAGTCAGCCACCGGGGAGCAGTGTGACGGTAGGATGTTACATCACTTTGACTTCTTGAAACGAAAATGTCCCAAAAAGTATATGTAATAGATAAAAATTATTTTCTAGCTCTGATTTACTCACATTGGATTACTCTGTTTTAAATCGTGTTTAGTTGAACACAACACTGATGTACTGGCAGAAATTAAAGAGAGACATACAGTACAGGAATACCTTCAAAGACGAGTCTTTTCAATGTTTTTACTTCCGATAACCATCTGCTGCCACCTTGTGCCACTACATTAAAATGTCACTGCCTGTCACAGCAGCATTGTTGGGGAAAAAAGACAAACTATTTGCAGTGAATAAACAATTGTTGCCCGACCATTGAATTTAAATTAGATAATTTTCCAGTGATCCCACCTGGTGAAAACCACTGCTCTGAACAGATATTAAAAATATTTAAAAATCAGCAGAACAAAGTAGACAGCAGAAACCAAACATTTCTATCTGAGTTGCTAAAAAAAAAAAAAAAAAAAAAAAAAAAAAAAAACCCACCAGATTTTCTCTTTGTTTTGGGAGAGTACTGTCATAGAGAAGAACAGAGTGTCCAGATAGAACAAGCCTAACGGTTGCCCCGAAGAACCGTGTAAGAACCCAAACACTGCAGATGCTTTCTCTGCCTGTGACTAATAAATGAAATTAGGCAAAGCTCCTTTTTTTTTTTTATGAGGAAAAACATTGCTTTGAATGGTCACATAAATATTTGCACGTTGCGGTGATTTCCCACATTTTTCCTATCGTTAAATTTCTATTTGTCCGCTTAATTCTCTGAATGTGTTCAATGTGTAGTCGAAAAAGGATTGAGGTCAAATAAAAAAAAATCAGTTGAAATAACTATAAATCCAATCAATAAAATGCCTGTCTCTACATATCATGTACACCATCTGCCAGTGTTTCCATAAGAGAATTGAACCTGCTGCTGAAAAAAGTGAAAAAACCGTAATATACATATCTGATTTCATAACTGTCATTTTTCAAAAATGTGATTAAAACCTGTAGGAGGCGCCTGACACAAATGCCTTAACCTGGTCTAGATACTATATGGCAGAGGTCCCCAAATCCTGGTCCGTGGACCGGTACCAGTCCGTAGGTCATTTGGTACCGGGACACAGTGAATTAATGTACTTCAGTTTTACTAATTTACTTCATTCCAAAAATAATCCAGTCATATCCCTTTATTTTTTTCATTCAAAGATAATCTGTCCATGTTTCAAAACAACAGGTCATTAAGACTCTAAAAGACGTTTTATTTTGAAAATCTAAGGACGGCGCAGTATTACTGGCTGATACCGGCCGACCGGTCCTTGGTACAAAAAAAGGTTAGGGACCGCCCCTGTACGAGACACTTACTGAAATGATAACATCTGTCGTAGAACTTTTTCATTCATTACGGTATTTTTTTTTTTTTTTTTTTTTTTTGGGTTTCAGATGTGGACGAGTGCGCTGAGGAAACGAGGCCCTGTGGCAGCGTGGGGCGCTGTGTCAACAGCATGGGCTCGTACACCTGTAACTGCCCTCAGGGATACCGGCAGATAAACGGCACCAGCTGTAGCGGTGAGTGCTGCAGCCTTCCCCGAACACACACACACACTGGGATTGGAGTGGACACCGGCGCACTAACACGGACACTCTGTGTCTGCGTTGTCTCTGTCTGCGTTGTTCCAGATGTTGATGAGTGCGTGAATGATCCCGAGCTCTGTTCTCCGAATGGCGAGTGCCTCAACACAGAAGGCTCCTTTCTCTGCGTGTGCGATCGTGGATTTACCGCCGGCCTCAACCCTCCCTCGTGTGAAGGTGAGTCCAACAACAGAGTACGATTTTAATAAAAACAGCAGAAGGGTCTGGGGTCATCAGGTGAGGACAGGCTACAATCTGGACAGTATACAACCTTTTGACCCGTGGGCCACAATTGTCCTGAAATTTCACAGAAAGATGGAGCGTTCAATAAATGTAATATAAAAGTCATGCATAAATGGCTAAAATGCTTTGATAATTTTCTACGCCATCTATTGGGGAAACGTAGGTATTGCAGGGAAAAGGCAAAAGTATAATGATAATATAAAGAAATTATATCATTTGGAAAGATTCGGCGGACCGGATTCAAAATCTGAACGGGCCACATCCGGCCCCCGGGCCTTAGTTTG